CACAGGCCGGGGCTGGCGCGGCCCCTGGCGGTGCCCGGGCGGGCCCAGGCCCTGAGCTCCCGAGCGAGCCCTCCCTCCCTCCTGAGGGCTGGCGAGAAAAGGGCATTCAGGAGGTCTTCTGGGACAGGTTTTCCCCTCACAGATAATGGTTCGTGCTGAGAAATACACAGATAGAAAAGACACTGTAAGTGGAAGGTTACCTGCGTGAGGCTGGTCACGCTGCTCCCTTCTGGGTTTGGGACATTATTTGACACCATTGCCTTACAGTGCTGCAGAGGCTGTGGCCCCATCCTGGGGGCTTAAACTCAAATATGTGGCAAGAGGAGTGTCTGCCAAGGACTGGAATCAGCTGAGAAGCCAAAGCAAGATGAAAGCCGTAACCCTTTGAACTACCACCAATGTCTGCTGTTATCATCAGTCAATATGAGCTTTCTTCACTGTCCTAGTGGTTTGACCCTGGCCGGATACCAGGCACCCACCAAAGCCCTTCTATCACTCCCTTAGACAAGTGGACAGGAGAGAAAAAATATAAAAGAGGGTTGAGATAAAGTCTGGGAGAGATCACTCACCAAATACGGTTACAAGCAAAACAGACTTGAATTTGGGATATTAACTGAATGAATTACTAACAACCCCAGAGAAGGAGAATGAGAAGTAAAATGAATCCTAAAAATACCTTCCCCCAGCCCTCCCCTCTTCCCAGCTCTACCTCCTCTCCCCCAGCAGCACAAGGAGACAAGGAATGGAGGTTATGATCAGTTCATCCCAGGTTGTTTCTGCCCCTGCTCCAGCATGGGGTCTCTCCCATGGGAAACAGCTCTCCATGAACTTGCCCAACATTGAGTTCATCCCATGGGCAACAGTTTTCCGTGAACTGCTGCAACATGGGTCACTCTTCCACAGGGTGCAATCCTCCAGGTATAGCCTGCTGCAGCCTGGGTCCCTTGCAGGGTCACAACTCCCACCAGAAACCTGTTCCATTATGGCATACTCTCTCCACAGATTTGCAAGTCCCTGCCTGGAGCCCGCTCCAGCAGGGCTTTTCCAAGGGCTCACAGCCCTGTCTGGGGCACCTGTTCTAGTGTGGGTCCCTTCATGGGCTGCAGGTGGATCTTTGCATCCCCATGGACCTCCATGTGTTGCAGGGGGACAGCCTGTTTCACCATGGGCTGCACCACAGCCTGCAGGGGAATCTCAGCTCCAGCCCCTGTAGCATGTCCTCCCCCCCTCCTTCTCTACTGACCCTACTGTCTCCAGAGTTGTTCCTCACACATATTCTCACTCTTCTCTGACTGCAATTACATCTGTACAATAACTTGTTTCCCTTTTTAGAGGGAAAGCTGCTGGCATCTTGTCACAGAGGCCATCCTTGTAACCTCCCACTACCAAAACCCAGCCACATAAACCCAACAAAACACTTCACGTGGAAGGAAGCGTGTGCCATTACATCAAACAAGGCAATTTATCTGATCAGTATTCTTATTTACAGCAAACACTGGCATTTTTTTGAAATGTCTTAAAATGATGCAAACCCAACCATAGATGTTTTTGTTAGATGGGTCTTTTCCGTTGCACTGATTGACTGCTGGGTTCTGTGGTTGAGTGAGTGTGAAGGATGCTGTGACACCAACACATGGCAATGAAACAAACGTTGTAGAATGAGGAATTCTTTGTCTTGGTGACCACTGGGTTGCTCTGTTGTCCTGCAGAAGTCCTAAGTGTCCCCCAGTGTACAATGTGTCATGTCTACTTTGGTACTCTGCCACAAAAGTAGTAATGAGTGGCCACAAAGGATCAAAAGAAAGGGAAGCAAGAGAACAGGATAATAACTTTGAGTCTTGATGTTTAAGAGGCACTGCCTTCTTGTCCCCAGGTGTTTTGCTCAGAGGACTTCAGCAATGCCTATTTGTATTCCTGTATTACTCTTTTACTCTGAAATTATATCTCCAGTGTCAGCTGTGGTTTCAAACACAGAAAAACAACAACTCAGCTTAAGACTGTTAAGTGGAAAAAAAGTCTCTGAATTTATGAGAATGACCATTGTGATTCTAGAAGTTATATATTCAGTATAGCCATCTGTAACAACAAAAAATATTACAATAATGAGGAAAATAATTGTTGCAGGCATTCATGGATTATTATGGCTTCAGAAATATAGTTATTAAAATAATTTGCTGAACAAGCTTAGCGAAACTACCCTATTCCACCAAACCCTATCTCAATATTTTCATTACATGAGGATTACCAGCAATTGGCAATTCAGCCAATTTGAGAAAAATCAGATTTAGAAAACTATCCTGCAGTCCTGTTATTCATTCACAGTGTTTCATTTTGCTTATTGTTTTGCAATTATCTTCTAAGCACATTTCTTTTAATGAAGAAAAAGGTCTTACATTGCTGTGGTGAAGATCCACTGAAGTAATAGGAAAAATTAAGTTCTACTTTTGAGATGCTTCGTAAAACCAGTGCATACAAAAATCAGAATTACCCAGTGTCACTTATAATCAAGGAGTCTCACTGTAGAACAGAATTTTGATGCTGCACACAAAGACTACCCTTTTCACATTCTTTATCCACTCCTCCCAAGGGTTTGCTTCTTCCTGCCATGTTACTGGCCCACATAACCTCTTACTCCAGTTGTTACAACCCCCTCACAAACACTGCCATCAGGCCATTTAAAGTACAGCTAGAGAATTTATGTTCCTAAACTCTTATTTTAGTCAGACTACTTCTGATTTTGGCCTCTTGAAAGATAATGACTTTATTTTTTCCACAGGCTTCATGCTCTCTCCTGAATCATGGGTGACGATCAACTCCAAGATGCTATTAAACTCTTTCTTTTTAGTTGATTTACTCTTATTACCTTGTTAGATCATCCTCCTTCCAGTTTTACCTACTTCATTATCTGCTTCTCCACATAAGACGTTTGTTTCCTCTCATTGTATTCCACAAGTTAAATCTTTTTTTCTGGGCAGATCTGGCCCTCTTTCTATTAAAATTTGCCTAGGAATTACACTTTTAATAAGGTTTAAGAAAAGCTGAGTACATTAATTTATTTTTTAATTTATTCTTAGGTGACTAACTGCACACATACATGAGGTTCAGTGTGAACCCCTGTAATATAAGCAGAATATGATGACAAGAAGAATGGAAAGCAGAAGGAAAAGGATGGGAAAAACTGCAACATATGCCAGTTAATAATAATGTGATCTGATGCCTTGTCCATATGTGACATACCTTTTTGTCAGTCTCTGCCTTTCTCTCACTATTTAGACTCTTTGGAAGAGAGACTATATCTTCCTCTCTGTTTAGAAAACACTTGATATTTCAATTTCTAGTGCTGTCATCTTCATAAATGATCTTCATGCTGTCCTTTTCCAGTAGTAAGGACATGCATAGGAGAGCAGGATCATACAGTCAAAAGACACCCTGGACCCTGTAGTATCTCCCTGATATCTCCCTGACACAGACACCAACCCTTGAGAGTCAGAGGTAAGCTTGTGTACTGAAGTTATTGGAAGACTGATACCCTATTTCAGTTAATAAAGCATGGATTTACATCTGCTTTGGGTAGCACCAAGCAACAGGACAAGAGGAAATAGACAGAAACTGAAGCACAGGAAGTTCTGCCTGAACAGGAGGAAGAACTTCTTTACTGTGTGAGTGACTGGGCACTCGATCAGGTTGCCCAGAGAGGTTGTGGAATCACCATCATTGGAGATATTCCAGTACATTTGGACACAGTCCTGTGCCATGTGCTCCAGGATGCTTGCATAAGCTTCTAGTGTTGGTGTTAAGAGGTCAGCTATGATAAATCGAATTAATGTAAAAAGTCTACAAAATACAAAATAGTAATTACATTAAAATATTAACAGATTATGTACTTTATAAAGACAAAATGCAAGGTCTTTACTCTGTCTTGAAATCTCATAAAGAAATGTGCTGGGTTTGGTTGGGGAAAAATTCATTTTCTTCACAGTGGTTAGTATGGGGCTACGTTTTGGGTATTTTATAGTAAATATATTTGATACATGATTGTTGCTGAAGAACTGTGTGATAGAGCTACGATTACCTAAATGGTACATCAGTGGGAGGGTCCTTCAGTTGTTTCTGAGGTAATTGATTTCCAGCTCCCTGTTGACTGTTATAACAGTGATCATTAAAATAGTATTAGAATTTCTGTTTCCACAAAATATTCTAAGTGATCCTTCTATACATTAACTGGGAAGAAGGCTGGTTCAATTTCACAGTGCTACCTTCTTATAAAGTATAGAATTCTTGGTGCTTAATGCAAAATCACCTAAATATTAGTGTTATTAAAGCTGACATGGTCCTTGCATTTTCAGAATATTAATATAATTGAAATACCACAGGTAATTTTTGCAAGCTTTGATTAATTTTCTTACCTCAAGATCTCACCTCAAAGTCTGGCCTCTTGCATAAGCTCTGGATCTAAGCTCCTTCTGTAGCCAACAGAGAAAGACAGGCATGTCCAGCTGTTGACTCATCCTTCTGAAGAAAGCACTTCTAAAGACTGACCCTATCTCTAGTCCTTAGTCTGGACAAGTTCAAGAGAAAAGAATTTCAGCTTTCATGTTTAAGTTGACAGAAGTCATCTATGTCTCTTCCTACACTGCAAGTGTGATGGTGTCAGCATGTTAGTGACAGTTCAGGGCCACGGCTAAGATGCTCCCTGTGTGACCAAGTGTAAGAGAACAGCTTTATTTTTATCATGCTGCTGACAGAATGGTAATGTACACAGGCCTTTGAAGCACTGCAGTTTAGGATCCCATATCTACAGGAAGGAAACTACAAATACTGACAAATGCCACAGGCTCTGGAAACCTCTGGTACTTCTAGGAAAGTCCTGAATTCCTTAATTTGTGCTGGGTTTGGCTGAGAACAAGTTAGTTTTTTTCCCTAGTAGATAGCACAGTGTTTGTTTTATATTTATTATGAGAATAATGTTGATAATATATTGTTGTTTTAGCTGTTACTAAGTTGTGTTTACTCTAAATCAAGGACTTTTTGTCTTCTCAAGCTCTGCCAGTTAGCAGGGGTACAAGAAGCTGGGGGAGTCACATAGCCTGGACAGCTGCCCCAAGCTTGCCAAAGGGATAATCTATACCATAGAATGTCATGTTTAGTAAATAATCTATGGGGAGTTGTCCAGAAGCTGCCAATTACTGCTTGGGGTCAGGCTGGGCATTGGTCAGTGGGTGGTGTGCAACTGTGTTGTGCATCGTTTCTCTAGAGCTTTATTCCTCCCTCTCCTTTTCTTATTCCTTCTAGTGGCAGTATCAAGGCATTTTATTTTAATCATTAAATTGTTCTGATCTTAATCCATGAGGTTTACTTTTTTGTTCAGATTCTACTCCCAGTTGAGGTCGGGGCACTAAGCAAACAACTATGTGGAACTTGCTGACTGGGGTTAAACCATGGCATATGCCAAGCAAAACTAAGTGATCAAACCTGTTAGAGTTGTGTAATTGAACCACATGGACACAATGCAAAAATAGGGGCTTTATGAAAGTAAATTTTCATGATACAGAGAAAAACTTAGTTCTGTAGCCCACCAGAGCTCCTGCTCTGTAAATCCACTATGTCAATGCTGACAGCCTCAGGGCTTTCATGACCATAACTTTGTCATCAGAACTGGACTGGGCAGAAGTCCACATTTCCTCACTTCCCATCTTCATCTGACATGCCTTCTGTGCTCCCTCTGCAGTACCCAAAACAGAGCTGTAATGGAACCCATCTTCCCCACCCCTGGGAGATGTAGGATTTCACTGCATAGCCATTAAGCAGCTGCTCGTCCTCTTGCAGAGTGGTATTAAATAAGATATCTTTCACCATCCTTGTACCACTGAGAAATTTAAATCCCACATGTAGCTGGTAATAGGGAGAAAATCCAAAACATAACCACAGAATGAGGCTGAATGTTAGTAATATCAAACAAATCCACAAGAATGACCCTTGCAAAGGTGTAATAAATTTAGTTACAAAAAATTAAATTAAAGTTTTACCAGAGCTACTTAGCTTTTCAATTTATACTTTCTATTACTTGTCATAAGGTTTGAAAAAGCTAAATGACTCCAACCTTTGCTATTTAAAATGAACATTGATTTTTTTTCTCTTCTGTGTTTTGAGAAGAGACAAAACCAATGCTAATGGTTTTATCCAGGAGGTTGTAAAGCGAGCTCTTCTCAGATCGTAAAACTGTGTTGTTCCTTTTTTTGAAAACAAAGCAGAGGAGATATTTTTATAGTTTCACCTCCACCTGTTGCTGTATTACTCATGGACAAGTTAGAAGCTTCTGCCAAGATTTCTTCTAGTCCTTCAAGTGGTTCTGTCTTGCATGTGTGCTTTGAAGTTCCTATTGCTCGTGTGGAATGTTTATACTTGATGTTTTAGACATGTCTTAACATATAAATTACCTGATTACAAGTCAGTTCTGTTCCAGCTACCTTTCAAAGGGATTGCTGCCAGCCCCATTTAACCCCACTGGGCTGAGATTAACCAGCAAACATAAACTTCAAGCTGTACTTTGCATCTATTTGCTTGACTACCCATTCTACTGGTGAAAACAGTGGTTTTTCTTTTCTCTAAAGGAACAAGATTTAGGCATTATGTACAGCCTATCTGTATTAGCTCCTCCAATAAATTTTCAAACGCTGGTCAATTTTGATCAAATTTACTTAATGGAATATGTCTCAACGTACTACATTTCTTTTCTTCACAGTGCATCCTGTGAAGGAAATGCAGTTGAGCAGTAGTGAGGAAAAGGCTCAAAAACTAGTTCAGTTCTTAGGGATTTGCATACAGCAGCTTGGTCTCAAGAAGCATTCAGAAAATAGTTTCACTATTTCACAGAGGTAGTTTCTATTTATATTTAATTTATATTTCACAGAGGTAATTTCTTACCTCTGGTACCCCTACCTCTCCTGCTTTCCCAGTATCTAAGCCATTCACAGTTCAAGGTAGGAAAATAATATTGCTACTGATTCAGGCGATGGGGAATTGAGGCACAATATGATTAAAATTCAGACTTTCACAGGCATTTATGCACATCTCACTTGAGATTTGATGGCTTGGATTTACAGCAATTTGCCCAAGTTCATACAAGAAGCATGCCATAGGCCTGGGAATCGAATCCAAGCTTGCACTTTGCTCTTTGGACCATAGTTCCTAAATGGGATGTAGTAATTTCGGAATTGCACCTTCCTAGCCCCGTCTTTGGCTGGAAACCAGTCTGCTGTGAATAACACATCCTTTGGTCCTCATGGCATGAGCATCAAAGCTAGCTACTCTTCTAGATCTGCCTCTCTGGTGCACTGGCACAGTGCAAACACTGTATGTGTCTCCCCTTCAGAGCTGTGGGATCACACAGTTCCTTCCAAGTGTAGCAGAAATTTTACTGTTAAAGGGGGAATACTATCTAAAAGGAAGTCATGCTTAATTAGCTAAAGAATTTTTTAACACAGCAGTGAGCTACTGATCCTTAGAAAAATAAAAAAGTCTTTAACTTTGTTTAATTTCATCTGGTCTCATCCCACTCTGACTTGGCTAATTACCTGTAGGTAATTTCTTCTGGAATTCCACATTTCATCTTTTTCAGATACCGTTGCTTAGCTCTGTAGCAGCTTCAAGTATCTTTTATTTAGGATTGTGGAATACAAATAAGAACACTCTGATCTACAAAAACAAACAGAAGATAATGAGCATCAGAAAGATCACTATTAAGAATGAATACCAGTTCCTGAAACCCCGTGGAGTTCACAGTTTGATGACAGAACTATTTCCAGTCTATTACACTAAGAATCTCAGTTTTGAGAACTCTGGAGAAAGTTAGATGAACAACTTACCCAGACTACATCCAGTGCTATTTCTACAAAAAAATGGAATTTCTTATTTCAAGAACTTATTTTTCCAAGTAACAGAGTCCACAGCACAAGTAAGGCACATTCTGGAACAAGCTGATATATCTGTTCTGGTTTAAAGAAGCAGACTTGCTCACCTTTGCTAACACCTACTAAATAGAACAGAAAATATCTGAAGAATTTGATTTCCTCACTGAAAATTTTAGGCACAAAATGACAATCTCAGGCCTCGCAAAATATGGAGCTTAAGAGTATACTTAGCATAGGAAAAAAATAACAAACCAATTGAAGACTGAATGACAAGTGAGTGACAGAAATTGTTACTAATGGAGGAACACAAAATAAAATGTATATGTGTGTGACAGAAATTGCTACAATTGGAGGAACACAAAATAAAATGTATGTAAATGGGAATGCTGGCTTGGATTCCCTGGCTCCAGCTGGCTGACAACTTTAACCACTGAGTGCTGTTCCATCAGTAGTAACAGTGAACACTTGTTCCCACTATGGTGTCCTAAAGAAAAGTACTGAGAAGTGGATAAGTAGTTTTTCCATCAACACACATTGACAAATATCAGTAAAAAACTCAGGAGAAACAATATTTTCATTTCAAGTTTGAAAAAAATGCAGTAGAAAAATTTGAAGGCTGTTTTCAAGAAGATTCAAAACTAGCAACCAGCATCTCAAAAACAGAGCACTATCTGCTCTGTGCCCTGAAAAACCTGCACACTGGTCAGCGTTCATCTTTCTAATCACTTGTGAAATTCTGGGCTGACATGACAAAATCCACCCAAAGATCTTAAGAGTGCAGAGATTAATAGTGTATTGCCATGGCATTGTACTTAGTGAAAAGAAGCTATAAAATAGATAAGGGGGAAAACGCATCACCTAAGTTCCCAAACTTAGTGAATATTCTTGCATTACTTGACATCTGGGCATTTAAAAAAAAAAGTTACTGATTACTGATCAAGCTACCCATGAGGAAGCATTAAGCTATATATAGCATTTGCAGTAAAAACCCATGGCCATGCAAAATTCTTCTCGCTTGATGTTTTGCTTAAAACTCAAAACAATCCAAAAACATGGACATTTTGAGTGAATCTAAATCTTTATGATATATCAAAGCACATGAAACTAATGTTGTTACATGAAACCATGTGGAAATGTGTAAGGTTTATTGTGTTCTGTTTTGTGTAAATCCCAGTACCAGAAGAGAGCTAGGAGAGGAGCATACTGTATTTATCAAATATTAATCAGAAGAGGATGGTAGCAGAAGCTATTGTGAAATGTGAGTTTTATACTAGTTTATTTAAAATACTTAAGATATTCAAATAATGAATTATTACAGGTTATTAAGAATTGCACAAATCAAAAATATTCTTATTACCTCTCTTGTGGAGATTGCACATATACCTGTTGGTGGCAGATGCGTGGAATGTCTTTGGCCGCCTTTTGGCTAACTCTGATTCTAGTGAATGGAGGAACTGGTAGATTATGAAGTGTTTCATATAAATGCTTCATAAGAGAGGTTTATAAATCTCAGTAGAGAAGTCAGTCCAACTAATATCTTCACCCAGCCGCCTGTATTTCTTCAGAACCAAGCCTAAAAGTGGAAGAAAAGTGTTCTCTTGAAGCCCTGTATCACCAGGAGGAAATGATCCTTTTTGGTTTGCAGTGAAATTTTACCTTTTTGGGGGAAAGGGTGATGGGGTAATACAGACCCACATATCCCCTCACCCAAGGTTCTGTTCCACCAAATGGCTGGTCGGACCTGGGTTCCATGAGCCATCCTCCAACTTCATGGAACTCCTATTCATCAGCTTCTTCTTTCTCAGGCTGTGCAAAATGTAGGAATGGGGATGTAACCTGTTTGTTCTCCTGTCAGCTGGTGAATCTTGATGCAAGCATAGGACAGGCTGGAATAGATCTAAAGAACCTTCACAATAATGGTGCCTGCCTTGCTGACAGCAGGCACTGGCTACTGAGGCGACAGGAGGGTGAGGCCAGGGATAAGGCCAGTGGGTCACAGCTGGCCACTCTCCCCCAGTCCCCAGGGAAACAAGGACAACTGGGGGACTGGAGCGTCTCTCTTATGAGGAAAGGCTTGGGCCTGTTCAGCCTCAAGAAGAGATGATTGAGACGGGACCTCATTTATGTCCATCAGTACTGGGAGGGAGGGTGTCAGAGGATGAAGCCAGGGATTTTTGGTGGTAACAAACAATAGAACAAGGGACAACAGGCAGAATCTGATGCACAGGAAGTTCCACCCGAACATGAGGAAGACCTTCTTTACTGTGTGGTGATCACACACTGAAACAGGTTGGCCAGAGAGACTGGAGTCTCCCTCATTGGAGATATTCCAGAAGCACCTGGATGCAATCCTGTACCTTGTGCTCTACAATGACCCCGCTTCAGCAGGGAGGTCGGACCTGCTGACACACCGCGGTCCCTTCCAACCCGACCCATTTGTGATTCTGTGAGACCGAAGCCGCAGGGAAGAGCTGCCCCTGGTCAGAGGCCCCGCTACACAATCGCCAGCAGCAGCAGCAGCCCGGCGGGACCGAGCCCTGTGGCAGGGCCAGCCCTCGGTGGCAGCCCCGGCCGCCGCTGTGCCCCAGCCCCGTG